GCCCGCAGGCTCTGTGTTCCCAAAGGTGAAGGTTCACGTAGGCCCCGATTCGTTACCGCATCTCTCCCCCGAGCGATTTCAGGCCAAAGGTAACCACGAAGCCGACGCAGCTGCGGAAACAGGCGCGCTCTCACACGTCGGCCCCAGCTCGGCAGAAGTAGAGGCATGGGAAGCTCAGGGTAAAGCCCTGAAGCCGTTTTTGAAGCACGCACCTCGCGCTTTCCCCTGTGGCCTTGCCCCCCAAGGGGAAGCTGGCCCGAGTGAGGCCAGCGCAAATTCAAGGGAGCGGGAGCTACCTCGTGGACCTGCTCGCGCCACATGCCCACGACCACCTCGTACGTCGCCAAATGATGTTTGGGAAGCCCGGCGCCATCAGGGCAGGACCAGCGCCCCCGCAGGCTGCGGAGCAGCAACACGAATGGCGGCGGAGAAAGGAGGGTCGCCGTTGGACATGCCTGCGCCGCCAAAGGAGAAGCATCAAATCAAGGGTGGAGCCCTTCCAGCGCCTCGGCCGCTTCGATCTCCCCCCTCCTCCTCCTCCTCAAGGGTTGCGCTGATGCTTCTCCTATTCTCCAAGCCCTGTTTAAGAGGGCGCAAAGCGGGAAGAAGGGCGAGCAGCAGGTGCCGGCGGTTTTTTTCAAGCGATCCGGCAGGAATCACGGGCCTCCTCGCACATGCGCCAGGCAAGCCTGCGCCACGTCTCCAGCCAGCGGGACGCGCATAGCTGCCTCGGTGCGCACGCGCCCCTAGAGCCCTGCTTCGCTGGCCTCGCCAGCCCGGATCTGCACTTCCATGGCGAGAAGAACATCTCGCACCGCCTTTTCCCGGGCAGCAGCGCGCTCTGCAGGCACCACCAAACGTTGTCGCCAGCAACGCGGGTTCGCCTTGAAATCGAAATCATACCGGCAGTTGCCGCCAGGGGTGTGGACCCGCATCATGCACCTGATGGACGACGTTGCCTTGTAGTCATCTGGGGTTCGTACAGGCGAACCGCAACAAGGACAGGCATGAAATGATCCAGGGCGGGCTAAGATGCTGGCCCGCTTTCCTACATTGTGTCCAGCGAGGCCGCCGGGGGAGATTCTGCACGCGATGGATCCGGTCAGTTTTCGGTTTAGCCTTCGCCTTAGCCTTCGCTGTGGGTACCACAGTGCAGGAAGAAGCCGTTTGGGCAGAGATGAGTACAGATGAGTTATCCTTGTCCCCGACCCCCACAACCCCCATGTGTAGCCCCCATGTGTAGCCCCCAAGTGTAGCCCCCATGTGTAGCCCCCAAGTGTAGCCTCCATGTGTAGCCCCCATGTGTAGCCCCCATGTGTCGCCCCCAAGTGTAACCCCCATGTGTAGTCCCCACGTGTAGCCCCCAAGTGCAGCCCCCAAGTCTAGCCCCCAAGTGTAGCCCCCAGAAGCCGTGCCCTCCATCCGGCTACGCGCGCAGGGACAAAGAATGACCGTTCGGGCCCCCTCGTTCTGATGTAGAGCCTGCGGCTGCTACTCCGAAGGAGCCCGCGCAGTAGGCCTGGAATCCAGGTGCCTTCCTGCACGCAACTCCCGGAGAGCCCAAACCAACTGGAACAGAGCATCAAAGGCCAATCTCCCAATGACAGACGTGGGAACGGCATTATATAGGAGAATTTCTCCCGTTTAGCGCTTTGTTCCAGCTTCGCCAAGAGCTCGCGCACCATAAGAGTCAGGGGACCTCTGCCTCCGCCTCCACCTCCTCTCCTCCTCCTATCCCCCTGTGGGGTAGGGTTTCGGGGATCCGCATTTGCATCGGCAACGCTTGGGGCATGGCCCGAAGGTCGGTTGCGGGATAATTCAGCTCGCCTTCCTTTGATTCACCCCGCGAAGCGAGGGTCAAAAAAGGTGACCCTCCTCCACTCCTTTTCTTAATGAACAACTCCTCCCCGTCGCAGCCCGAGGCCAGTCGAAAGAACGGGCTGGGCAATTCGCCTGAGACTTCCTCACCATCAATGATCCTGAAGCTTACGGATGCGGCGGGGGTCGTTTTTCAAATGTGGCTCTTGCCTAAGCGCCACGCACATTCGTCTTAAGAGTTTGCAGAAGCTTCACGGGTGGAGGGCGGGTCGCTTCCAAAATGTGGCTATCGCCCGAGCGCCGCGCACTTTCGTCTTCAAAGTTTGCAAAAGCTTCACCCATGGAGGGCGAGTCGCTTTCACAATGTGGCTCTCGCCTTGGAGCCGCACAACTTCGCCTTGAAAGTTTGCATGAGCTTCACGGATGGAGGGCGAGTCGTTTTTAGCATACGGCTCTCGCCGTAGCGCCGCGCACATTCGCCGTAGAATTGTGCGACAGTTGCACGGATGGAGGGCGGGTCGTTTTTTCATGTGGCCCTCACCTTAGCGCCACGCACTATCGTCTAAAAACGTTGCAAGCGCTTCACCGATGGAGGGCGACTCTCGCTTGAGCGCCGCACAGTCGTCGTAAAGAACGGCAGGAGCTTCACGGATGGAGGGCGGGTCGCTTTCAAATGTAGGTCTCGCCTTAGCGCCGCGCACATTCATGTTAAGAGTTGAGTTCACAGCAGTTTCAAGAAAACTCATGGTTAACGTTGCATAAATGACGCTTTGGCACGATGTCGGATAGCCAGGGCGAAACAGTTACGTCAACTCGCGGTGTTGAAATAACAAGAACGGTTGTCTGACACGATTCAGGGTCGTCAATACGCAACAGCTGCGGTGCTTCGCGGCGCTGAAATCCCAGAAATGGCGCTCTGGCGCACTACCGGATTTTCAAACGCTTGTCTTCCAACGGGGCACTTCCCTCAATGAAAATGAATTCTGAGATGGGGCCTACGAAGAAGGAACTTGGAGGGAGGGTTTATTGCAATATCCTTGATGAGTCTTGGGTTTACACTGGAACTCCTCCTCCTCCTCTTTCTCCTCCTCCTCCTCCTCTCCTTCTCCTCCCCCCTCCTCCTCCGCCTCCTCATTCTCTTCCTCCTCCCTCTCCTGCTCCTCCTCCTCCTCCTCCTCCTCCTCCTCATCATCATCATCATCATCAGCAGCAGAAGCAGCAGCATCATCAAAATCAGCATCAGCATCAGCATCAGCATCATCAGAATCAGCAGCAGTATCACCATCAGCATCATCATGATCCTCCTCCTCCTCCTCTTCCTCCTCATCCTCCTCATCATCATCAGTAGCAGCATCATCAAAATCAGCATCAGCATCAGCATCAGCATCAGCATCAGCAGCCTCAGCATCAGCCTCAGCATCAGCATCATCATCAGCAGCATCATCATAAGCATCATCAGCAGCATCATCAGAACCATCATCAGCATAATCATCATAATCATGACCAGCATCACTATCATCATCATCAGCATCATCAGCATCAGCATCATCAGCATCAACATCAACATCAACATCAGCAGCATCATCATGATCCTCCTCCTCCTCCTTCTCCTCCTCTTTCCTCCTCCTCCTCCCTCCTGTTCTTCCTCCTCCTCCTCCTCCTCCTCCTCCTCCTCCTCCTCCTCCTCCTCCTCCTCCTCCTCCTCCTCCTCTGCCTCCTCCTCCCACACTTTTACTCCCACACTTCTCCCCCCCTCCTCCCCGCCGCGATTTTGAGACGGCTGCCGCTGCAATGCTGGCCGCGCCACGGCGAACCGGCTTCAGCCAGACCTCCTGCCTCGCGGCCCGGTCGGGGCGCGGAGGCCCCGTCCAGGCCCGCAGCTCGGCCTCCTGCTGCTCCAGCCACCACCGCTCCTGGACCCAGCAGTCCGACCGCGTGTTGTCGGAGGTGTCCTTGGCCCCAAAGGTGTCCCCAGTACTTCCAAAGGTGTCCCCAGGATGTCATGGAGGCCACAGCGGCCTCAAGAGCACCCCTCGCGAGGCCAAGAGAGCCCCGGGGCGTCCGAAATGGCGCGCAAAGCTAGGGAATCCTTGGGCAAGGGACACCGCTGGCAACCCCCGATCCGAAGGATCGATGTCTTCAGCCCCAGCGGCTCTTCCTCAACTTCGGCCTCAAGGGGGCCCATTCCTTCATCAAAAAGAAGAAAGGCTCCCGGACGAGAGGCCGCCCCCCAGAGCAGGCTCAGATGCTCGTTCTGGGGACCTTCCTGGAGCCCCTCGCTCCGCTCATGCGTCGATGCTGCGTCGAACGTCCGACGACTTGTGTCGAGCTTGTGTCGAGCTTGAGTCCCTCCGTCGAACTCCAATCGAACTAGAGTCGAACAGATCCGTCAGGGGGGCCCCGAGGGTCCCCACCCCGAATGCCTAAGAAGGGCGCCGAGGGGCGTCCTGGGAGGGGCCCTCCTCGCCGCCGCGCCAGCCCGAGGCGGGGCCGCCGGGGGCCGCGGCGCGCCCAAGCACCCGCGCCAGCGCCCGCTCCTGTGCCCGCCGGAGCGCGGGCGCGCCCACGCGGCGCACGGCCTCGCGGCACTCGTCCAGCAGCGGGCCCTCCAGCGCGGCGAGCTCCGGCTGCCGCCCCGGCTCCTGAGCACCGCGAGCCCCGATCCCCTGGCCCTGCTGGCACGGCCCTGGCCCCACTGGCGGGCCTGAGCTGGAGAGGATCACGAAGTCGGGCCGGGTCGGAGCCAGCTCGGATCGCCAGCGAACCGTTCCGAATCGAATCGAGGTCGGATCGCCGCGCCTGGCTCTGGCTGGCCCCGCCCGATGCTGGAGAACCAGACCAGATCGAATCGAATCGGAATCGTGGACCCAGCCAGCGAATCGAATCGCATGGAATCGGATCGCAGGCAGCCCTGACTGGCCGACTCACCCACCGATGTGGGGACGTATGCCTGCTCCTTCGGGCTTCGCGGGCGCACTGGCGGGGCTGAGAAACCATGACACAGTGGGGATGATGGGCACCCCGAGTTTCTTAATAAGCATCGGGAGGGCGTCACCCCCGCCGACAGCCCCACATCGGCCCCCGTTGAGGGCAGCCACCGCGCCTTCGGCGCTCCGACCCCAGTCGCGGCGCGGGGACCAGGCGAGGTTGACCCCCGTCGGAGGGGTACCCCCCCACGCTCATTAAGAAACCCAGAGTCCAGAGTACACAGGGTGGACGATGCTGAGCTCCCGCCGCAGCGTAGACACGCAGGGCCGCACGCCGTCGCCGTCATCGCCCAGGCGGGCCAGCAGCCCGCCCGGTGCCAGCGCTCGCAGCGCGGCGGGCTCGCAGTCCTCGCAGCCCTCAGCGTACGGGTCGCACTGCACCTGTCGGGTGTTGCCAGGAGGGCCCCTGGCCCAAGAGTCTCCAGGATTTCGGGGGAGGCCTCAACGGCCAGGAGGGCCTCGGGAGCTCCAAAACAGCACGAAAAGGCGGGGGGAACCTGGGCCAGGGACAACTCTGATATCCGCCGATTCGGTGATCCCCAGGACGTGTGCTGGCGCCAACGTGCGCTTGTCCACCGAAGCCCTTCAATACTACGCAGACGGTGTAATAAGGACCGATACAGGCTGCGCGCTATCGGTGGAACTGAACGGGTCAACGCGCACTGGGCTAACACACGTCATGAGGATCGTCGACCGATGCTGCTGCCTCCCTGGACCTCTCCCAGGATCCCGAGGCGGATCCCGCCGTGGCAAATACGCGGGTTCCTGTGGGAGGGTCACAAATGCGGGCGAGAACGGAGGAGAGGGAAAGAGTCATCAGCATCGGCTGGTTCGTGTTAGACCCTGGGTCGGAAAGGGACCAAGCGTGTTCCTGGCCTGAGCTGTCCCCAGCGTCCCGCCCCATTTTCGAGCCCCCTGGGGCCCCCTGGGCCCAGTGGAACGCCGTGGAGGCCGCAAGGCCTGCCTGGAAATCCTGGAGACACATTGCGCCGAGGACACATCCAGCAACCCCTCCGACCCCATATGCTCCAGCCCCATCTACTCCGGCCCCCTCTACTCTGGCGATGCGGCGCGATCCTCCAACCCTATCCATTCTTGGCCCCGTCTGAGAAATCTAAATTGTGTGTGTGGCAGCACCCGAGACCCGGGCACCATCAGGTGGCAGCCACTGGCCCTCCCGTCCTCGACGGCACCGCCGTAGTCGCCCAGCGAGCCGAAGGCAAGCACCTCAGGCGGAGGGTGCCCGGCGGCGCCCGCGGCGAGGCGCTGCCAGTCCGCCAGCCGCTGGAGCGCCAGGCCAGCCGCTGGCGCAGGCTCCTGGAGGCCTGGATCGACGACGCACACCTGGGCGAAGAGACTTCCTCCTCCTCCTCCTCCTCCTCCTCCTCCTCCTCCTCCTCCTCCTCCTACTACTCCTACTCCTCCTCCTCCTCTCCTCCTCCTCCTCCGCCTTCTCCTCCTCCTCCTCCTCCTCCTCCTCCTCCGCCTCCTCCTCCTCCTCCTCCTCCTCCTCCTCCTCCTCCTCCTCCTCCTCCTCCTCCTGCTCCTGCTCCTCCTTTTCCTCCTCCTCCTCCTCCTCGCCCCCCCCCCCCCTCCCCCTCCCCTCCCCTCATCCTCCTCCTCCTCCTCCTCCTCCTCATCCTCCTCCTCCTCCTCCTCCTCCTCCTCCTCCGCCGCCGCCGCCGCCGCCGCCTCCGCCGCCTCCGCCTCGTCCTCCTCCTCCTCCTCCTCCTCCTCCTCCTCCTCCTCCTCCTCCTCCTCCTCCTCCTCTGTCCTCCTCTGTCCTCCTCCTCCTCCTCCTCTGTCCTCCTCCTCCTCCTCCTCCTCCTCCTCTTCTTCCTCCTCCTCCTCCTCCTCCTCCTCCTCCTCCTCCGCCTCCTCTTCTTCTTCTTATTATTAGTATTATTATTAGTATTGTCTTCTTTTTCTTCTTCTTATTCTTATTCTTATTATTATTCTTATTCGTATTCTTTTTCTTCTTATTATTATTATTATTTTTCTTCTTCTTCTTCTTCTTATTCTTATTCTTATTATTCTTAGTATGCTTCTTCTTATTATTATTCTTATTATTCTTATTATTATTATTCTTCTTATTCTTATCCTTCGTCTTCTTCTTCTTCTTCGTTTTATTTTTATTCTTCTTATTCTTATTATTATTCTTCTTCTTATTATTATTCTTATTAGTCTTCTTATTATTCTTCTTCTTCTTCTTATTATTCTTCTTATTATTCTTATTATTATTCTTCTTCTGCTTCTGCTTATTATTATTCTTCTTCTTCTTCGTGTTCTTGTTCTTCTTCTTCTTCGTCTTATTATTCTTATTCTTCTTCTTCTTATTATTATTCTTATTCTTATTCTGATGCTTCTTCTTCTTCTTATTATTATTATTCGTCTTATTCTTATGTTGCTTCTTCTTCGTCTTCGTATTCTTCTTATTATTCGTATTATTCTTCTTATTGTTCTTCTTCTTCTTCGTCTGTTTCTTCTTCTGTTTCTTCTTCTTCGTATGCTTCTTCTTATGCTTCTTCTTCTTCTTATTATTATTATTAGTATTATGTGTCTTATTCTTCTTCGCCTTCTCCTTCTTCGTCTTCTTCTTCTTATTATTATTATGCTTCGTCTTCTTCTTCTTCTTCTGCTTCTGCTTCTTCGTATTTTTCTTCGTCTTCTTTTTCTGAGTATTCTTCTTCTTATTCTTCTTATTATTCGTCTTATTCTTATTCTTATTCTTCTTATTATTCTTCTTCTTATTATTATTATTAGTCTTCTGATTATTCTTATTCTTCTTATTCTTATTATTAGTATCATTATTCGTCTTCTTCTTATTATTCTTATTATTCTTCTTCTTATTATTATTATGGTTATTATTCTTATTCTTCTTCTTCTTATTATTATTATTATTCGTCTTCTTCTTCGTCCTCCTCCTCCTCCTCCTCCTCCTCCTCCTCCTCCTCCTCCTCCTCCTCCGCCTTCTCCTCCATATCTTCATCCGCCTCCATGTCCTCCTCCTGTGCCTCTGCCTCCGTCTCCGCCTCCGCCTCCACCTCCTCCTCCTGCACCTCCTCCTCCTCCTCCTCCACCTCATCCCCCTCCTCCTCCT